CCCAGGGAGATGGTGTTGGATTCTATGTGAGTTGGGACACACAGGGTCCATTGTGTGCAGTGTCTGGCTTGCTGTACCAATTGTTGGACTATGCTTGATTTTGTCAGGTTTACTACTGTTCAGTGCAAGTCATCCTATACTGCATAGACCCATCCATACCATATCACTCAAACTCCAACGGGCTCATTCTGTCGGAGTTTATCAGGTTTGGTACACTAACCTGCATGTACAAGTACATAGACAAGTACATGAACCTGTTGGATTTGTGAGGTTCAGTATGCTTTCTAGTGCAGGAGCCTAGGGCATTAGGGTTAGAATTGTTGCCGTGATTACCCTGACTAAGAGGCCAAAGGTTTTTTTTTAATAACCACTCCCAAAACCTTACTTGAAATATACCTCTCCGTTGAGTGAAGATATTGTCAAGTTCAAACAGAAGCAAAAACCAATGGATTTTGTTACCTGTACGGCTTCGGCTGTTACACTGAGAAGAGGTAACGGGATGCCAAAGACGGTACATTTGTGCTTCAGGGACAGCGTGCCAGTGTGTTTGTTCTCCTCATCAATCTCCCAGGTGCCTTGCCACTCATGCTTAGCAAATGACCAGAACCTTGGCCAAAAATTGCAATCGAGCAATCAATGAATGCAATGCATGTATGGCTAGCTCATTAACACCGCATTACTCTCTCTGTGGATTTATCTCTGAATTTGGAATCACAGGGGCATTTCAATGGAAACATCCCTATCTTAGGGTTCATATCATAGCAATATCTTTTTTTAGAAATTCATTCATTCGTGCCAACATTGACATCAATGACAATAATTGAGATATCATGACCATTATAAGAAAATAATAATTTAAATGTAAATGTAAATATACATTTGACATGTGATGTGAATAGAGAATAAACGAGCAACTATTGACGAGGAAAAAAAAGTGTGACATTACTGTCGGTTAAACATACCGTAGTTGACAATGATAACATCAGAATTGCCAACATTGGGGTCACAACCTACGATCAGGATGAGCCCTTTTTTATCCTATATATATGTACATGCACTATACAAGCTTCAGAATAACAAATTCAAAGACGATTCTGAAAGGCCACACAAATCAGATTATATCAGTTCAGTTTAGTTTATTTCTACAGCATTTAAACAAATAAATGTAGACATTACGGTTCAAAATTATTTTAACAAAGAAGTGAAAACTGAGTGAAAATGGCACGCAGAGCTACGGTACCCTCCTGGGTTTAATAGCAAGGGCTAAACATGTAAATAACATGTAGTCAGGGAATAATTTTCAGCAAAAACTTGCACAGCAAATCTGCTATACAAAATACGTGCTTGCATAGACTTGTACAGCAATTTTTTTTCAGTTATAATTCCAGTTATTCCACGTCAAAAACCACGATGAATCCACACAGAGTCTGGTCCGCATTGAGCGATCGAGTTGAGAGTAAAACGTAACACTAACAACAGCACAACTAGACAGTGCACGTGCGAGGATAATAGAGAGTTTATGATTCCACAATGTGCAATCACGACGCAGCCGAACGGACATAAATTCTTTAGTACGCATGCTCAGTTGCTGTGGTCAGCGTATTGTCCTCAATGTGACGATTTTTTAAAATTGTTTACATTGTTGTTTGGCCATCGCAACCGCGTAGTGGTTGTGTGACGTGAAATCTTAAACTCCCTCGTTAGTTGACTAGTTGTGCATTGTTACTGCACGACAGGCAATGAATCAAAACAATTTTCACAGTCCAGTTCAAAGGTCACCGTAGTACTCCTTGCCACTAGCGCGTTATGTGCTATGACTAGTGTGAAAGCCGAGACTGATTAACAGCTGAAGGCTCATTCATGTAAGTATTCTTTCCTGCACAAATTGTGCTACGGAGAAACATGATTTTCCTTTTAATTTATTCGTTGGTCTTTTAATGTTTGATACCAGTTGGAAAATGGCACAATTAATTGCTACACTGGTCTAAGCTGAGTTTGGAGTAAGCATTCCGGCCGGGCGCACGCGCGTGAGAAAGAAACAGGATGTCACAAGGCGTCATCGTGATTGGATAGCCATGTCTGGCCAAGAGTATGTCATGCCAGCGCACATTCTCATTGGAGGTTACTCCATGTCTGCCACTCGCATTATGAATAATGCAGTGATTGGGCAGTAAGCATTTAATTCCGTCAATGGCCAATTTTGTATTAATGAGAGTTCACGCTGTGTTTTTGTTGTGTTATCGGCATTTCATAGCTAGCTTAGTAGTTCAAATTACAGGGCCAGTGATCACAGAGAGTGCCACTCTCTCGTACTGAATGAAGATGCCCGTAAACATGTAAGTTTCTGGTTACATTGCAGCAACTACAATTTTTTCATTAAAAAGTACGTAGCAAATGGCTGAAAATGCATCACGAATTGCATTGCCATACCGTGAAAATTATTCCCTGTGTAATATTAGGGACAAAAATCAAACTGGTTTGAATCACACCCAAGATTCCATTAAAAAGTACATCAGCGTGGAAAGTCAAAACTGCTGACAGTAAAATAGAGTTGAAAATAGAATATTTGACTTACAAGTTGTAAATAACACGGAGATCTCTGCCTAAGAACATGATAGGACTGTGTAGATGGCCCAGATGGGCAATATCTGCTCCATTCTCTGGTACTTCCTGAAAGTAGCACAACACAAACAAGTGTCATGAAATGTCCGGCACAAAATGCTGTTATGAAATAACTGTACAGCCTTCATACTTCTGGTCCTTACTTAATCACGTCTTTTATTTTAATGGATAGGGGGAAAGACTGATCCACTGACAGAAACGTGACCAGCAACAAAACAGCCTCTGGACCAGCCAATCAATTCAACAACCAATCAACAGGCACCTGAAACAATCTTTAAGATAAAGCATGAGGGTTTCACAAATTAGAAATTCAGCAAACAACCATGCAGTGACATAAACGAAATTTCTGCAAAACAGTGCCTTGTTTGCAGGCTGGTTTAGGAAACCTTCTTGGAATGTTAAGGAATACGGCTCTCACATGCACCGTACCTCTACATGGGCATTGATAAAGTGCTCGGTGATTCCGTGGTATTTCATCTTGCCGCTGGTGATCTCTTCCACCTCCAGAGGGAACCAGGTAGGCTCCGCCCCTTCGGCATGGTGCCAGACATAGATCTCTCCGTTCCTCTCAAGGCAGGGCCAGGATCGAATCTTGGCAAAGTCAGGAACTGTAAAAATGAGTCAAACTACTTTTTTTCTTTTAAAGAGACAACAAAATATTACAATTCCGATTTGTTAATCAGAGTATCAGAACGGCCCAATTTGAGAGTACAAGTACCTTTAAGTACATGCACAATTCAGTAAAACTTATTTTTAGCACTTGTAAAATTTTTATGCACCGGAAATTCTAAGTGACAGTTGTGAGAGGGGAAGTAGTGACATACTGATAGGAAAGGAGTAGGTTTTCTCAACTTAAGGCCTTTAATGTAATGCAGTGGTGATGGGATTCTGTGTAGTAAAAAAAAAAACAAAAAAAAACAGGATTGTTTGTTAATTAGGGACTGATGACACTGAGAGTGGACTAATTTCACAATAGGGTGTTATAAGACACTGATGCACTGCGGTGCTTCGAGACTTGAGTGATGTTTTGAAAATACTGTGCTCAGACAGTGCATTATGACCAATCATTGGTCTAATTAAGGGTGACATCACAAACTGATTAGCATGGTTAAGCACCTCATCATGCCTTTGAATCTTTCTTTATGGCACTTTATTGTGGAAAGTAGGTCATTTGCATACCAAGCACGTTTCCACCTTGTCTGTAAATGCAAAATACCAGCATATCGCAATATCATAAAATACCAGCAATACAGCATATCACTTTCTACCAGCAGTTTGTGCACCATTCGTTCGTGTACATATGGCCTTACACGTATATTCAGCGGCAGATTACAACAGGCAGTCTCAGACCTTCATGTACATGTATGCTTGACCACTACTACACATTGGTCCAGAAGTTGGATTTATACGGGTTTCTTTGAAAAGCAGTCTAAAGTGTGGATGTGGTATGTTGCCGGTTACAGCGATGAACCATCACCCAGGCTAGTGAAAATGCCAAAGTACACTTGTACATGTAGGCTGTATGCTGGTGTGAATTTTGGACTTCTGTCAAATCATGGGCCAGCCTCACCGGTAATGTTTACATTACCGGGTTCATACATTATCGATTACCAGCTACATGTACCTACATACATGTGCACACAAAGTTGCTGAGAAAATACACGTATCTCATACCCCTGGACAGGATGAAGCCCCTTTCGGTTATCACATGCAGCTAATAAGCCTGTAACTTAATGACGGTACGCTTTGGCAGTGAAACGGGACACTCTCCATTGAACCCCCATACAGAAGCCCACATGTAAACAAAGCATGGTTTCATCATGTTTCCTGGTCTATTTCAGTACCCATAAAAACACTCAGTGACAAAAGGAGGCCATGCTCTTGTGAGTTCTCACCTTTCTCAGCGTAGGGAACCTTGACGCACTTGCCATCGTCCCCGCGAAAGGTCCAGCCGTGGAATGGACACTCCAGGCAGTCCCCTCTGATTTGACCTCCGACCCCTAGATTGGCGCCCAGGTGAGGGCAGTATGCGTCGACGACGAAGACTTGGCCGCTCTCACCGCGATACACCACAAGTTCGTGGCCTGCACGGGGGCAAAAAGTGATTAGCTGCAGTTACGTGTCAACTAAATCAGTGGAAAAACTCCCACTAGCATGTCTGACGGCAACACCTGAAACAGCAATTCAAATTGAAAGTCAACTCTGTTTCCAATAATCTTTGGTCAAAACATGTCTGTCCGGTGGGGAATTTCACTTAGACCCTTCGCGTCGGGAAGCGGCTAGAAACGCCATAAAAATTGAGATCCTCAGCCCGCTTTTCAGCTATTATTCTCGGCCCACACTCGAGCGAACACGGTGAAAGAAGGCAGACCCTGGCTGTTATATATATGGTAATTGGTCTTTGTGCATAGCCCAGAAATGAAAAAAAAAAACGATTTTGCATCATAATCACCAGCTGGACAACAGTCCCCACTTTGAAAAGAGGCAACGGGAATGTGGAAGGGTGAGTGGAGCCGTATGCCCCTGAAGAATCAGCCTTTTCACCTTTGCAACGTGTAATTCAAAGCGTGCAGAGCATGCAGGGCCACAAACCGAGAATTTGCAGTTTGGCAGGTGGCCTTTGTGGCCAAGCGAGGCTGGAATTCTCGGAGTCGGCTTTCGGAAAGAAATTCCCGTCATCAAGGGGTTAAGATGCAACACCTTTGAAAGCCCCTTGGTGCATTATTTGATCAAACAACTTTTACGTCTCAAATGAAAGTACTTCCAAGAATATGGCACACTGGCCGAAATAAAACTTTGAAGCCACTCCACACATTCTCAGTTGTCAATGAAATTTATGCACTGGTGACATGTAAACCTGAGAAATTCATCAAACCAGATTTTAAAACAGTATACGTAAAACTGTGTATTAAAATACAGGTACCCAATTTGTTGTCAGCATTAGTTACTTTTTGATAATTTCTACCCTTCCACAGACAGAAACTGAGAGTGTGCCAAACCAACCAGCACATGTGCAGTACATGTACATGCTTAGTGCACATTTTTGTTTCTATAAATACATGTATGTACAAGAACTGACTAATCCTTGCATTAGGGTACTCTTAAATAAGGCAACTAAAATTGCCAAAAATAACCCCAAAATTACTCATCAGATAAATCTACATACACGTATTCATCCCCAACAACTTTTCTGAAACCTGCAATGTGGGCAGACACAATACAAGTACATGTATATGGCAAAACTCAAGTCTGAGCAAAAAAATGCCCAGCTGCAATTCGAAAAAAGTTTTGATTTTAGGTTGTCAGCTAAATGCTTGTAAGAAACTTGCACTCCCCTCAATTTACATGTACATAGGGGCATACATGACAAAAACACTGACTTGAAATGTATTGAACGTTTTAATAAAAGCAGATTCCTTTAGTACAAATGCCATGGAAAGAATTCCATACACTGATGCTGCTTCAAACCCTGTGCACAAACCAAGATTGATCAAGTTTTAAGTAAAGTGAATACTTCAATGTATTCCCCATTAAATCTGACTTTTTAGGATAATTTCCTGCTTTCAAATGACTAATACGTGTCCTTGTATGGTCACTGCAAGCCAAACATAGAAGTATCCATATGGAATTCCTTCCAATGCAATAATCCGTGTACTTACTGTATGTACGTACAGTATGTACATAGTAGCATGTTAGTGGTATTTGAGGAGTAGTTGTGTACTGGTAGTATTTAGGCATTGAAAACAGCAACCCTTTAGAAATGGTTGTATTACTGCATTTTGGAAGGGATCTTTCACCAATTTAACATTTGGACAAATGCCATCAATGAAACATATGTTTTCCCTCCTTGAATATGCCACTGATGTACCGTACATGTACTTTCCTTTCAACATGTTCAAAACCAGTAACAATTGTATTACATTCAACAAAACACATGTATCAAGACACCAGGACAAGGAAATCAGTACATCCATTTTTATTATTTATAACCCATACCTGTGACAGGTGCAACACAGGGCAATAACTCCAAACTGAAACCAACTGTACCATACTTTACACTTCCTTTTCCTGATGAACAACCTTTTTGCCTGTGATCCCATGTCCCAATAACCCCTAATACCTCATAGCCTAAGTCTCTACTGCTAACAATCAAGAACTGCTACCGGTATAGAATTGAAATTAACTTCTGACGTATGCACTCAGGGGTCCAGTCGTTCTGGCCACTCCATCGGAAAAAGCTATGGTATAGGCCTTGACCGCCTTGGCCCGCATCTCTTTGGCAAGGCGGTGGGTTGGGGTTGAAGATTAGAATTTGAAAACAATAAAACGCTGATCGATATTGTACATAATATGGAGGTTTTCAGTTCTCATGCATTTTTACACATACATGTACATGTAAAGTACTTGCATAGTGTTATGAAATGCTGCACCTGCCCTGTTAAATAATAAAAACAATATAAACTGCACTGCATATTTACTCTCTGATAAAAGGTCAGATAAAGAGGATTAAAGAAATAATGTTAAAATTACCTCTACAGCAGTCTACCACAAAATGCCACATATATAAGGGGTTAAACTGATTAAGACTTAACTTTTTAAATATACATGTATATGTACATTCTGCAGTACATGTAGTTGGCTCAATACTGCGCATGCCTTTATAACAGAACTGACATGTACATGTACATGTATGTCGTGGACATAATTACACGTGCATACATGTAAATCTTGTACGTGCACATTTCACTCTATTAGAAAATGTCAATGCATTTTTTTTAAATATAATCTGTTCAATTATAATCTATTTTGAAAATGTTGTGTAAAATGTACATATGTACATGTATCAAACATGGCAGACCTGAGTGTACAATGAAACATACCGGTATGCCCGGGATTGTTTCATGGCCTCAGACTGTTGAAAAACTGAACATTAAACAAAATAAGCAGAAAATAACAAGCTCATGGCTTTTGATTAAGGTACAAGTACACGGATACCTACCAATACATGTACGTGTTAATCAAAAGTATGGGGCAGGGCAGCCATCTGGGAGTTTCATAAAATTATGAGTAGCAACCACACCGAACCGATGAAAACAACTGTAACGAGTGCATGCATACGTACTGATCAAAGAAAAGGTGGGGCACCTGATCCTCAGACTGGCTGGTGCGTGCACATGTCATCACCAGCGCGGTATCTGCCATTTTGCGAGAATCCAAGACGTGCCAGATGTCCATGCCTACCCTAGGCAAAGGCATTCAAGCGTACCTTGTCCGTGGATGCGTGTGCATTTTTTGAATCTGTGTCTCTCCCTTAGCAGTTTCACATACGTTAGAATCAATGTTAAGAGACTTTAAAGGCACATGTGTTCCTGCACACATCTGAATGCTGACTGTCAAAAATCATGTGACTGATTTCATTCTCTATGTTGTAAATCAATCAATAAAAATCATAAAAGATAGCCCATTCAGCACTGACATACATGTACATACCTGGTACATGTAGATGTACATGTACGTAGATGACATCATTTAATGGTTTTGGTTTTACCGTGGTGTCATTACTGAGTAACTATTCCGTCTCAGTCAAACACAAAAGGAAAAGTTAATCATTCTTAGCCTCGGAAATAAACGATAGTGACTAGGCATGGACTGTACACGTACACGTACGCCACTCCTTGTGAGAGGGTTCAACACTCTCAGTGCAAGGGGTTCAGGGATTCAGTTTCACCATGTTACACAGCATCACAACTCAACACTTGAATATCAGCTTTCAATGAAATCACCGTCCCCCGTCATGGTCAACGTTTAACCAAGCCTGGTCAATGTTTCACAACGTCGGTCATATATATACCAGTACCACACACCTAGCGGAGGGTAAATTTTCTGAATGTACATGCACGGTAGGCCCTCTGATCAATTCACTGTGCCTTTCCTAGTCAAATACATGTAATTCATTTCTTAGTATCCACAAGTTTTCATGCAAGATTTAATAAACAAGACAGTAGAGAAAGCAACTCATCTTGTGGAATACTGCCACACCCTTGACCCTTCTCAAGTTCTACATCTTTTGTTGGCATTCATCTCACAGTTTTTGCTAAACCAAGCATCCAAACAATTAATTAATCTACTTGTAGGCCAAGACTTACATGTACCACACGTGTATGTAATACAGCACAATACATCCAACAAACTGAACTACATGTAAGAAAAGAAACTTACATGTAACTCCAAGTATGATACAGTGTATGTGCATTAAGTACTACCCGTGGTCTACATGCACTTGAGCCCGGACATACATGTACACTGTACACCGGTACTTTTATTTATTCCATGTATGACCTTTGCCCTTAAAGAAAAAACTTACCTAAAATGCACGTACGCACCTTTGCACAGGAAAAGCTTTAAATACAACCTCTATTGCACTTTTAAAACTTTGTCATGCACTCAGCACATGTTGAACCATCTATCAGTACAAATACATGTACAATGAAAGCTTTATGTGAAATTATGTCGGTCACAGAATTAATTTTCCACATGTATGCATGGTGTGCTACACCATCAGTGGCTTTATTCTTCTAATATGGATGACTCCAAATTTCTTCAATAAGAGTACAATCCCCTCATTTAAACATTCACGCACTCATGTTGCACATGAACAGCACATACATGTACATGTATGGCCAGAGTTCCTCCACAGCACATGCATGTACATGTAGTGATGTACATGCATGGCCAGAGTTCCTCCACAGCAGGTACATGTACATGTATGGCCAGAGTTCCTCCACAGCAGGTACATGTACATGCATGGCCAGAGTTCCTCCACAGCAGGTACATGTACATGTATGGCCAGAGTTCCTCCACAGCAGTACATGTACATGTATGGCCAGAGTTCCCCCACAGCAGGTACATGTACATGTACATGCATGGCCAGAGTTCCTCCACAGCAGGTACATGTACATGTATGGCCAGAGTTCCTCCACAGCACATGCATGTACATATACATGCATGGCCAGAGTTCCTCCACAGCAGGTACATGTACATGTA